GGGAGATTAAGAAGTGAGAGGAGGGTGGGGGTCATTTCTGGATCCTTGCTGTTCTCCCGTGAGGTGGCCTTATGAGGGTGGGCCCCTTCCAAATGGGATCCGCCTCCCTACTGTTCTCCCCCAACTCCCACCCCAGCACCGGAAACCAGAATGTCTGGTCTGGTCCCTCCCCCCCACACCAGGCCCGGTTCCTGCACCGTTGCCATGGAGATGGGAAGCAGTGGAGGGTACTGCTGACTTTGGGGGAGTGGGGATGGGCTGGGGGGTTGGGGAAGCAAAGACGAAATGTGTGGGGGGGAAGAGAGTTCCAGGAGCTGTGGGCGAGCGCGCCTCTAACCCAGGGCCGGCGGACCCCTCCCCCACGCGCGGCAGCGCTACGAAGCCCCCTCCCCCTCCAGGTACCCAGCCGCGCCGCCCCACCTCGTCCCTGCGGAGACCCTGGCTTCCTCCTCCTCACCCCACCGCACAGCCCACCTCTCGATCTGGGGCCTGCAGCCACTCCCCCTCGGCTGACCCTGGCTGACCCCCAGCCTCAACCCCGCTAGGAGGGGGTGGCCAGTGGGAGGCAAGAAAAGCTGGCCGAGGCCCCCAGCGCGCAAGGCTGCCCCAGCCCCCGGGCCGGCTCCGGCCCCTCCCCCTCAGGGCTCGCGGGAGGGAGCGGGCACGCTCCGCCGGGGCGGCATGAATCAAACGCTCCGCGGCTAAGAATAGCTGGCACGCAGCTGGTACCAAGACGGGCTGAGGAATCGGCGAGGGGGGGGCGGAGGACGGGAGAGAGGGGGTGCCCTGGGAGGCTGCGGGGGAACAGGGGGCGGCTGGCGTGGCCGAGAGCGGGGCTCGGGAGAATGAATGGAGGCGGAGGGAGGCGGAGAGGGGCGGGGAGAGAGAGCCAGGGCCGAAGCTGGGAAACTGGTGGGGGAGAGCCCGGGCCGGGGAGAGGGGCGGGGGTCTCCGGGGAGCAGGAGTCGGGGGCGGGAGCCGAGGGGGCGCGCCGGCCGGTGGTGTAGGGACTGGAGACCAGGAGGGGACGCGGGGAGCTGCGGCAGGAGGTGGGAAGGGAATGGAGGAGCCTGGAAGGGGAAGCGGGAGCTGGAGGGGTCGAAGGGGGCGGAGGAGGCCCGGGCCTAGACCCTCCCTGGAGGAGAAGGGGAACCAGAATGACCTGGCGAAGGGGCCCAGGTGCGCCAGGATGAGGCGGGGGAGTGGCCGGGCTGGGCGGGGAGGCGGGTACCGGGACTGAGCCCTTGGCCCCTGAGAGCCGGAAGGCGGGTTCGGGATAGGGGTTCTGCTGTCTGGGGATGGGGGACGCGCCTCCCATCAAGGATGCGATCTGGGACGGGGCACCGGGGACCGGGGCGTAACCCAATTTGGCGTCACCCAGGGCAACGCTCCCCACCTCACCCGCACCCCCAGCCGCACACCCAGGCCCGGAGCCCGGCGCCAGGCCAAGGACATCCCGGGCGCCCCCGCCCCTTCCCGCGGCCCCGGCCCCGTAGCTCCCCCAACCCCCAGGTTCTCGACCCCCTTACCTGCCTGGCGGGGCTGCTGAGTCCCGGTCGGCGGCGCCCGCGGCCCCTCCCCCCTCCCCCCACCCCCCACCCCCCCGGAGACGGGGGACCCTCAGGCCATGCCCCACCGCCCCGGAGGGCGAGCGGGCCCGGGGAGGGGGCGGGCGGGGGCCGGGGGGGAGGGCGGGAGGGCCGAGGACCTCACCCCCCCCGCGGGCCGGGCCTGGCCATCCGCAGAGCACCCCCCTTCCGCCGCGGCCGCCGCGCCCCTCCTCGCCCGCCCCCGGCTCGGTCCGGCCGGCTCTGGGCGCCGCGTCTCCGCCTGCTCTTCCTCCTCCTCTTCCTCGGGCCGCCGCCGCCGCCGCCGCCGCCGCCCGCTCCGCGCCTCCTCTGCCACCCTTCTCGCTCTCTCGCTCTCGCTGTCTCTCCCTCACCCTGTTTCTCTCTCCCTCCCTCTCTCCCTCCCTCCCCTCCCTCCGCCCTCTCCCCTCCCTCCGGGAGTCGGCGGAGGAGACATCGCCCCTCCCCGCGCCCCCAAACCTCGCCCATCCCCCCCCACCAACGCCGGCTCCGCCCCCTACCCTTGCCCTCCCCCACCATTCCTCTTCACCTCCGAGTCCCCAAATCCTGACTCCACTGTTTGCTCCCATATCCCAAATAAGGGATCTTGCCCCCCAAGTGTGCCCCACACACACCTCAGGACTACCCCCTCCCAGAGAGCTCTTCACTCCCCTGCACACAGTGGGGCACAATAAATATTTGCTGCCAGACTCTATACCCCCAAATTGAAGTGTGAAGGTTATAAATTCCTACCCTATTCCCCACCCCTCCACACACACACCCTTTCCATCTAAGCACTGGAGCCGGGCACACGTGGACATACCTGGGCCAGACCACATTACCCCAAGGCACAGGTGCATAGTCACCAGCTGAACAGCACCTGCAGACATCCCCACATGCACACACTCTCCAGTGCACGCAAGCCCAGACACAGTGCACCTGGGGTACACAGCCACAAACACACCCAGCTACATGCAGTTGTGTGTCACACCCCTGCGCCTGGGCACACACACAGCACATAAGCACATGCACACATTTGCCCACCACCACCACACACACACACACACACACACACACACACACGCACGCAGGCGTTCACCCGGGTATGCATGCCCAGATCTCTCAACACCAAAACGGAGTTACAGCACTGTAGAGACGTGTGCACGCCTTCCCATCACACCCACCCACTGTGCCGTCCATTGCACTGGTTGGCACTCACCCGTTTACATGCCTAACTCCGTGCCATCCTTCCCCTCCAGGATAGTTACTGCTGACATTCCTGGAGCATTTTCTGTGTGCCAGGCTCAGAGACTTTCAGCATCCCCATTTTCCAGCGGGGGAAGCAAGGCACAGAGAGGCGAAATAACTTGCCCAAGGTCATCTAGCTATAAGGAGGTGGTAACGAGGATCAGGAACGGGTAGGTTGGCTCCAGAGTCCTCGCTCAATTGCTATTGTGCACTGTTGGGCATATCCCCTCACAGTTGCATATCCTTGATCCTCACACACAGACACACCCAGCCATCTCCTCAGAGCTTGCACGCGTGTGTGTAGGCACGCATAAGCAGCCAGCTGTGTGCAGACAGCTAATTCATGCCTGGGATGCACCCACAAAGGCAGATCCCACAGGGCAGCAGTGAGTGGTGAGTGGCTCCTTAGCCCAGGCTTCCCCATTCTCCGGCTCCAACAGCACCTCCAGAGCCTGCAAGAGGCAGTTCTAAGCAGCCTCTGGGTTCCCCTCCAGCTGCAGGCTCTCTGGGGTACCCCAGTATGAGATGGAGGAGGTGCCTGCCCAGCCTGGGGAGGCCTCTATCTCGATGCACACCCACTAGCCCAGGTGGTGAGCAGCTGAGCCCGGGGAGAGAACAGCTGCCGGTGTTGGCTCCAGCAGTCAGAGAGGCTGTGCACCCCTGCAGTTTACAAGGCCTTTCCCCACATATGCATGATTTCTTGAGGTCTGTAGCTCCTGGTGAGGGGCCCAGGTCCCTGGTGGGCACCTGAGAGGCCCAGGCTCTGAGGCAGGGAGCAGCCTGCCCAAGGTCACCGTGTCCTCAATGTACCAGGCTTTCTTGGAAAACAGAAGGCTGGAGGCATTGTTTTCCAAGGCCCCTCCTGGGGCTCCCGGCAGCGGAGGGCAGATGCCCTGCTCTTGGAGCCAGAAACCTTGGCTAGCTGCCGCCACACTGGTGACCTCCAGCAGGCCATGCTGCTTCAGAGCCTCGGTCTCCTCCTTTGAAGAGCAGGCCCAGTGATCCCTGGCTGCTGTGCTCCATGCTTGTTGGCACCACCGGCCAGGCCTGTGCTGGAAAAGCCCTGTGTGACTCATGGGCCTGGCATAGAGGGACATGGAGTGGCGCCGTACTTCCTCACCTCCAAACCCCTCTCCCATTGCCCTCAGCACTTCCACCCACGCTGCCACCACGACCCTGGGAACTTGGGTGCCGCCAAACCAAAAAGGTGAAGCCTCCAGGCCTTTGACCCCACCAGGAACAGCTACTCTCTCACCCACTCAACAGGCCGATTGTGCACCTACTATGTGCTCGGTAGGCCTGGTGCTAGGGAATCCAGCAGTGCATAAAAACCCCTGCCTTCTTTGGCAGGGGATAGATGTAAACAAACAGATCGTGCCAGTCTTGATTATACCAAAAAGATGAAATGGGGCATTTTAATAAAGTAACTTGTGGGACAGAGAAGGTGGTTGGGGAAGGCATCTTGGAGCTGAGATCTCGATGATGAGGAGCTGGGGAAAGAATCTTCTAGAAGGAGGAAAGGGCTACTGCAGAGGCTCTGAGGTTGTAATGAGCTTAGTATTTGGGTACAAGCCAAGAGGCCAGGGAAGGTGGAGCCTGGGGGTGGGCGAGGGGAGTGGGGGTGATGAGGCTGCAGAGGTACAAAGGGTTCTTCCTTCCCAGCCCCCAGCATGGCAGGCTGTGCCGAGGACTGAGGCCCGGGCTTGGCTTCCCTCCTGCTTATGATGGGAAGGTGGGGGAGCAGGGGAGTGGGGAGTGATGTGATCTGATTTATGGTTTGGAAGGATTGCTTTGGCTGTGGCAAGCAGCCGGGATTGGAGGGGCTCAGGAGGAAGGGGGAGGGCAGGGAGACTGCAGTGGTCCAGGCTGGGATGAGGTGGCTCTTGGAATGCTCTGGGCTCCTTAGGCACACAACCCAGTGTCTGTCGATTTCACCTCCTGGAGAAACCTTCCTTGACTGCTCCTCCAGACTCCCCACCCCCTCCCACCTCCAGCCCCCTCACCCTGGGAACTATCTGGCTACTGGTCTGTGAGCAGCTGGAGCCCCCAGCATCACCCAGTCCAGGGCCCGGCCTGCAGGAGGCTTCTAGTAAAGTGGTCAATTAATCTCCAAGCCCCATCTTCCAGGGCTGTGCACAGTCACATGCATGCTCTTCACATGTGTCGCCCCGCCCCCGCACACACTCACTTGCCTCTCCAGACAAGGGCTTGGAGGGTGGGATGTGCAATCTAGGGGCAGGAGAGGCCATGGCGTCTCCTCCATCGGGTGTGTGGGCAATGGTGGCCCCAGGGTAATAACCTCAGTTATTACCCTGAGGTCTGCTCCCTCTTCAGGAAAGACCAGGCAGGGGAGAAGGGAGCAGTGCTCGGTCCCAGCATCCCTCCACTGCTCCGTTGGTTCTAAACGGGGCCTGCGTTCTCCAAGATTCCTTGAAGAGTCAGCTCCATCCTCTTCCTGATTATCTGAGCTTTGGGCCTCGGCAGAAGGAAAAGAGCAGGGCGGAAGCGAGCTCTGGAAAGTGGAAAGAGGGGGGTGTGTGAGGAGACCCAAGGCGGGATCCAGGCTTTGGAACGTTGGAGGTTTCCGGCCACAGAGGCAGGGCCTCGAGGGAGCCAAGAGGGGCGGGGAGAGACACACTCAGAGGAGCAGAAGAGACCAACGGACAGACAGAGACGAGGAGAGGAACAGGAAGAGAGAAGCTGGGAGAGTCGGGAACCTGGGGGCTAGTGATCTGCACACAGGGCAGAGCCACTCAGCAGTTCTCAGAGACCCCCACCCCCACCCCAGACATCCAGACATCTGGAACCTTGGGTGCCAAGAGTACAGCCTAATGCCGGCAGCCTGGCTTTTGGGGGCTTTGGTGATCCCCCAGCTCTTGAGCTTTGGCCATGGGGCTCGGGGAGCCGAGAGGGAGTGGGAGGGAGTCTGGGGAGGTGCTCAGGAGGAGGAGCGGGAGAGGGAGGCCCTGATGCTGAAGGTGAGCGCTGGAGTGTCAGGGAGCTATGGGTGGCAAACTGTGGGCCTGGGAGAGGGTATTGCAAGGTTAGGGAAATGGACAAGGAGGAGCGATGGGGATAGTCTCGGAGGAGGAGGGTAATGGGCTCAGAGACAGGACTCAGGAGGCAGAGAATGAGTTAAGAGTTGGAAAAGGGCATGTGGGGCATCTTGGTGACAAGCTGGGGCTCACCACCCCTCCCCTGCCTCAGCATCTGCAGGAGGCCCTGGGACTGCCTGCTGGGAGGGGGGATGAGAATCCTCCCGGAACTGTTGAGGACAAAGAGGACTGGGAGATGGAGGAGGACCAGGGAGATGAAGAGGAGGGAGCAACGCCAACCCCATCCTCCAGCCCCAGCCCCTCTCCCACCCCTGAGGACACCGTCACTTACATCCGTGAGTAACCAGAAGTCCCCACCCCCAAACCCCTGGCCTCTGCTATCACTTTCGCAAAATGAAGGGTTGGTTCAGTGCCCAGTGGCCTTTCAGCTATTCATTGCCCAGCCCAGAGCCCCCACACCCCTAGAGGCCCCAGGTCCACGGCCATGCCTCCTAAGAGCCTGTGCCACTCGATCCTACCTTCCAGGAATCCCGTCCCACCCCACTCCCTCCCCGCCCTCAGGAGCCCTAGGTCCCAGTTCTCCAGGTCCTCAGGCTCCCCGCTGCATCCCCAGGCTCCCCCTCCAGCATGATCCCTGTGTGTCCGCAGTGGGCCGCCTGGCCGGCCTTGACGCAGGCCTGCACCAGCTGCACGTCCGTCTGCACGCGTTGGACACCCGCGTGGTCGAGCTGACCCAGGGGCTGCGGCAGCTGCGGAACGCGGCGGGCGACACCCGCGATGCCCTGCAAGCCCTGCAGGAGGCGCAGGGTCGCGCCGAGCGCGAGCACGGCCGCTTGGAGGGTGAGTCCGCGGCGCGCGGGATGGAAAAAAATGAGACTATCTGGGCCAGGTATGGGACTGGTGGGAAAGTGGCCCTCGGTGCCCGGGGCAGGAGGGTGGATTCGGGAGGACTGGGGTGTGCTGGGGGACAGGGAGGTTAGAGAGCCGGGAGGCTGAATGCGGGGAGCAGAGCTGGCACCCCGGAGCCGCGCGGACCCGACTGGGGCAGCGCCACGCCCCCTACAGTCCCGCCCCCACCGCCTGGCCCCGCCCCTGGCGGACCGGACTCTCCGCCTCTGGGCTCCCGCGGTTCTGGCCACGCCTCCTCCCAGCCCACCTCACGAGGTCCTGACCCCGCCTCCCTCCACCCCGGGTGTTTTAGCACCTCCCCCTTCCCGCCTCCAAATGCATGACCCCGCCTCCTTCTCGACCCGGCGGGGTCCGCAGGCTGCCTGAAGGGGCTGCGCCTGGGCCACAAGTGCTTCCTACTCTCGCGCGACTTCGAAGCGCAGGCGGCGGCGCAGGCGCGGTGCACGGCGCGGGGCGGGAGCCTGGCGCAACCTGCGGACCGCCAGCAGATGGAGGCGCTCACCCGCTACCTGCGCGCGGCGCTCGCTCCCTACAACTGGCCCGTATGGCTGGGCGTGCACGATCGGCGCGCCGAGGGCCTCTACCTCTTCGAAAACGGGCAGCGCGTGTCCTTCTTCGCATGGCACCGCGCACCCCGCCCCGAGCCCGGCGCGCGGCCCAGCGCCACGCCGCACCCACTCAGCCCGGACCAGCCCAACGGCGGCACGCTGGAGAACTGCGTGGCGCAGGCCTCTGACGATGGCTCCTGGTGGGACCACGACTGCCAGCGGCGCCTCTACTACGTCTGCGAGTTCCCCTTCTAGCGGGGCTGGTTACCCGCCTCTCCGCCCATCCCACCACTCGGCCTTCTCCTGTGCCGTGCCCACCCTCCTCTGAGATCGCCCTTCACTCCCTATCCACGGATGGCAGTGTCTCCCCGGTCCCCGGCCTCCGGGCTGGGCCCTCCTGGGAGGGCTCTTGCGGTGCTGGGACTCCTCCGGGTTCAGCCCCGTTGAATGGGCTGGCAGCATGCTAGGTCCGGTGCCAATAAATCCTTGTGGAATCTGACTTGAGGGGCAGTGAAGGCACTCTTGGACTTTATCTCCTGCAGGGGAAGACGGGAAGGGCCAGACCCTGGTCTTTGGACGCCTGTCCTGGCCTTTGGATGCCTGCTTTTTACAGATGTCATTTGAGATGTCAGAGTGATGGAGAAACAGGTGCATATGTACACACGGTCATCTGCTCCTGTGCACAGATGCCCGGAGTACACGTGTGTAAACGCTGTAGACACCTTCACCTCCATTGTGCCCTCTCTCTTGGCCTTTGGGACGCAGGGCCTGCCAACCGCCCAGGCTGTGGCTTTGGTCCTTTTCAAAGAGATTGGGGAAACATGAAGGAGCTAAAGGCTTTGACAAGTCCTGCAGGAAAGAGCCTGTTTACTTTGTTTAAGTGGTGTGCCGCCAATTTGTTTCCCCTGATATCATTTCACAGACTTGAGATCATATACTGAAACATGGACTTAAGGACCCACCCAACCCTGAAGCTTAGAATTCCAAATTTTCCTCCTCTGCTTCCTGTCAGTGAGTCCAGGAGCCCAGCCCTTCCCCTCTGTGAGCCTCGGTTTCCTCATCTGAACATGGGCACAATCCTTTCTACTTTCTGTGGCTCTTGGGATGTTCAGGTGAGGCCAGGACAGTGTGCATTTGGGGATGGCTGAACTTGAGCCACATGCTACCTTCCTTCCTTCCTTTTTTTTTTTCTTTTTTTGAGACAGGGTCTTACTCTGTCAGCTAGGCTTGAGTGCAGTGGTACAATCATGACTCACTGCAGCCTCAACCAACTGGGCTCAAGCAGTCCTCCCACCTTAGCCCCTCAAGTAGCAGGGACTACAGGTGCACCCCACCACACCTGGCTAATTTTTGTATTTTTGTAGAGGGCGGGTTTTGCCATGTTGCCCAGGCTGGCCTTGAACTCCTGAGCTCAAGCCATCTGCCTGTCTGGGCCTCCCAAAGTACTGGGAATACAGGTGTGAGCACCTTGCCCAACCCTTCCTCACCATTTTTCATACCTTTACTCCTTGGGGGCAGTGAAGACACTCAGGAATCAGCCAGCCTGGGCCTCAGCATAGTGGACAGCTCTGTTTGGAGGAGAGGCTCTTTAGAAATCACCCTAGTACCTCCCCCAGTATTGGCATTGTGGGCATGACCCTGACGTCAGGGAGCCCAGGAATGGGGATGTGACCCTGTCTGTCCTTACCACAGTCCCCTCCTTCAGCCATGGCACCACCACCTAAAGGGACACCATTGGATCCACACATGAGAAGAGCAAGCCATCACTGTCAGCTTGGATAGAGGGGAGATCACCCACCCTTTTCCCTTCAGGAGTTATTTCTCAGTCCTACAGCCCCAGAGGAATGCAGGATAGGATAGCGGGGGTGTGGCCTGGAGCCAGCCTTCAATCAGAAATTCCACCCATTCTGAGCTTCAGTTTCCCTGGGAAGGGACAGACAGCTTGACATCTTAAAGCCAACCAGAGGTCAGATTAGGCAGACGATGAGTACCTATTATTTCCCAGAGAGGTCCCCGCCCTTGCAGAGCTTCCATTCTGGAAAGTATGTGGGTATGGTACACCATGGTTACCTGCCTGGATTCTGGAGCCAGATGGCCCAGGTTCCAATCCTATCTCAACTGTTATCTCCTGGGAAAACCCAAGTGAGATATAACCTTGCTGCTTCTCACTGTCCCCATCTGTACTGTGGGGATAAAAACAATATTGATCCAGAATAGTACCAGATACAGAGGAGTCTGCAATTCCCAATCTGATCTTCCCCAGGGCAAGTCGACCTCACCTTCATCTCTGTGTGCTCTCTCCTGACACTGTGCTCTTGTATATGCAAAGATTTCCATCCTCCTTTCTCTGCAGGGTAAACGCCCACTCCCAAGAATTGGATAACACATCATCCCAAACAACCAGACTTTCCCCCCACCCCGCGTGGGGTTAGGGACCCCCTTTGGTATCCACAAACCTCTTGTTCCTCACTTGACCCAGCCCTGATCAGCCAGGCTGAGGGACACTGCAGGTGTGTGTGTGGTGGGGGGCAGGACAGGGCATGACTATCTCCGTGTCCTCAGCATCGCCTGCCACATGAGAGCCCTTTGAATGAAGATGCTTGTGTGACGTCATGCTGGGGACCCTGAGATGAGTCGGATCTCTGCTGCTTTTCCTCCCTGGCCTTCTCCAGGCTGGGTGAGGCACCTCCTCTAGTTTTCCATAGGGTTCAGGGCTTTCTACATCACTTTAGCTGCCACTGTCTGGTCTGACAGACAATGTCTGTCTCTCTGGCAGTGCCTGGAGCTACCATACCAAGCACTGGGACAGCTAGGGGCATGCAGAGAGAGAGGTCCGAGGTGGGGAGTGGCATGCCTGCAAGGACTGTTTATACATCGAACAGCAGCCTATAAGTGGCATTCGGTGCTGATTCCTGACTAATCTGCGTGGGAAGCCTACCGTCTCCTCCAGGAAGCCCCACCAGACTTCCCACGGGCCAGAGTTTGCCAATGTCCTCTCTGAATTTCTGCGGAGCGCCTGTAGTTTGCAAGGCCAGAGTAATAGACTAGGGGAGGCCTTGGCAGCTGATTGGGATGGATCCATTAAGGGATCCCAGGGAAGTAGTAGAGGAAGGGCAGAAGGCCTGGGATGATTCAGCAAAGGAGGAAGCCGCAAGGACTTGCAGGGCGACAAAGCCCAGGAGGCCAAGCTGCACGCCCGTTACCGCCTTCCCAGAACCATGTTTTTCTGCAGTAACTGGGTGACTCCAACGGGTCACCTCGCAAGCCCCGCCCCCTCCTCCCACGTGGGGTTTCCCCTCCATTTCCCAGCGAGCCTGAGGGCCACGCCTTGGCGGTGAGGTCGGAGCTCCGCAGTCTCCAATCAGAGCTCAGACCCCACCTCTCCTCTTAGGCCTCGCCCCGCGGTACTTTGGGAAATGTAGTCCGGTCACGCGCCCAAAGGTAGGAAAACCCTAAGCAGCGAAGTCTTAGCATTCAACCTGCCCTTGGAGCTCTTAGACGAGAGTTTTTCAAAACAGGCGCATTTCCTTGGGTACATCATAATCATTTTTTGAAAAGTGAAATAAGTTCATATGAAATATTAGTAACGGGGAAAATGGTAAGAAGCTTTTCAAAATTTGAACGTCAATATGCAGAATTACAACATAAAATTCAATGTAAAATTTCTTTCTTTGTGCCTAAACGCTGGTCCGAACCAACTTAGTTTCTTTATTTTCTATTTATTTATTTTCTTTTTCTTTTTTATTATTTATTTATTTATAATAATAAATAAATAATACTCCAGGCTGGAGGGCAGTAGTGGCACAATTGTAGCTCATTGCAGCCTTAACCTCCTACGCGAAACCAATCTTCCCGCCTCAACCTCCTGAGTAGCTGGGACTACAGGCGTGCACCTTACAAAAACAACACAAAGGCTGGGCGCGGGGGCTCATGCCTGTAATCCCAGCACTCTGGGAGGCCGAGGTGGGTGGATCACAAGGTCAGGGGTTAGAGACCAGCCTGGCCAATAGGTGAAACCCCGTCTCTACTAAAAATACAAAAATTAGACGGGCACGGTGGCAGGCGTCTGTAGTCCCAGCTACTCGGGAGGCTGAGGGAGAAGAATCACTTGAACCTGAGAGGCGGAGGTTGCAGTGAGCTGAGATTGTGCCACTGCACTTCAGCCTGGGTGACACAGCGAGACTCCGTCTCAAAAAACAAACAAACAAAAAGACAAAATTTTAATTTGGAAATAATTTTAAACTTATAGATAACACTGTAGTACAAATACTCAGATGGATTTATTAGCAGTTTGTGCCATTGCATCTATTCATCCACCCACCCATCCTAGCCCAGCCATCAGGGACAAGCAAGACAAAGTCAGGATTGTTGACCCATTGAAATGATGGCGATCACTCCCCAGAGGAGAAGCTGCAATCGAGTTATAGGGTTTGGAGGAAGACAGAAATTTGGGTGAAATTTAAGTGAAGCAATGTTTAGATGGGTTTAGAACACGGTAGGAATCTGTATAAGTGATTCAGCATCAAGCCTGGGCCAAGTGCAGTAGCTCATGTCTGTAATCCCAACACTTTAGGAGGCCAACACAAGAGGATAAATAATACTCCAGGCTGGAGGGCAGTAGTGGCACAATTGTAGCTCATTGCAACCTGGGTAACAGTGAAACCCAGTCTCCATGGAAGGAAGGAAAGAAGGAAGAAAGGAAGGGAGGGAGGGAGGAAGGAAGGAAGAAAGGAAGGAAGGAAGGAAGAAAGGAAGGAAAGGGAGGAAGGGAGGGAGGGAGGAAGGCAGGGAGGGAGAGAAGGAGGAGGGGAGAGGAGGGGAGGAGAGAAGAGGGGAGAATTATCTGGGTGTGGTGGTAGGGGATGCCTTGAGCCCAGGAGTTTGCGGTTGCAGTGGACTATATGATTGCACCACTGTATTCCAGTCTACATAACAGAATGACACCCTGTCTCAAAAAAACAAATAAATAAATCAGATTTGAACTTCAAAGTGGACCTAAGGTCTTGTTTCCCTGGAAACTACAGTGTTAATATAAACGTGGCATGCTGTGCCCAGAAACTCTTTATTTAAAGCTCTGCACCAGGGCTGGAAATGGAGGCTTCTTATCTTTGTCTAAGTGACGGAGATCTTCCAGGCAACAAAGATCAGGCCGTTTCATTCTTACAGACAGACTTTCAAACAGCCAAGTTTCCAACAGTCTATGATTTTAGTAAACAAAGTTTCTCAGAGAGTAAGATAGCAGTAGTCTTTCACAAAGGGGGCAGCTAGGACACTTTCACCGCTGCAGCTCGCCCCTGGGTGAAATGTGTGCTGCTAACCTCGTAGCTGGTTTCTCTGGATCTATAGATGATAGGCAGGCCAGATTTTTACGGTATTAGCTACTTTTAGCTCATATATATGTAATTTTTCTTTTCCAGCCTTTCTTTCTCTTTCTCTCGCTCCCCCAATCTTTCCTTTTTTTCTTTTTCTTTTTTTTTAGACGGAGTTTTGCTCTGTCGC